CCAAAATTAAGCGACGATGTCGCAAGACAAAGGTTGTGTTACACTGAGGAATCCGAAAAGTGACTTCAAGAGGTAGGAGATAACACGTTTCATGGGTGAGCGGAAAAATAGCCGAGACAGAGATTATGCGATGAGCAGGAGTATAGGGTCCGATAAAATCCAAAAATAGTCCTGTATTGGGATGTGTGAGAGTGCCATTCGGCAGGGAAACATGTGCCAACTGCCCGGAAACAAAAACGAGGCAAAGAAGCAACGCAGGCAGAAAACAAATCATAAAAATAATCGACATGCAAACTACGTACCGTAATGAGACTTAACGTATGTACTATCGTAGGAGTGTAGACGACGAAATATTAGCGAGCGATTGATCGATGAGTACTTGGTAATTAAATGAAGTGAAAATTTGTGAGTACATACTTAATGAGGAGAGAAGGAGAGAGAAAAAGAGAGAGAAAGAGAGAATAGAGATAAGAGAACAAAAAAACAAAAAAAAACACGATTATGACCTCAGTAAGAGTGAATTCAAATAACCTTGAACCGTTGGACAGCCAGAGCTAAAGATATGATGTTAACGTACGTGTGACTACCTAGTGTATATGGACGTGAACGGATGATTGATGAGAAATGTCAGGGTGTTGTAAAGGAAAAATATGAAGATGGAACCTGATGAAGATAGAAGAGATAAACAAATTTGATCATGATTAATTGGTTTTCGTGTATGATGAATGAACGTGCATTATTGGGAATATACGTGTATTATCGATACAGACAAGCAATGGCCTTGAAGTCGGACAAAGAAAGTGTACCGAATAAAATTAACTAGGAACTCCTAGAAGGAAGCGAGCATGGAAGATAACAGAGTGGTTAAATGTCTGATACCGAGAAGATTAGGGTGGATATTATCCCGACCAAGCATATTAGCTTGAAAATCGAAAGGAATAATAAGAAGCTGAGGAGCTAAATGCATGTGAAGCAACATGTCATTGTAGCGGATGATTTTCCGTTGAAGCAGATTATAGGAACCTTGCATTTGCGTGTCAGCATGGGGTGGTACTTGAAAAAGTCGAATCTGAATAAAAAGATATTTCTGGCGGGTTAAATGAATAAGCTGGACGATTTGATCATAGAGATAAGATGGGGACTGGGAAGGGTTAAAGAGATTGTTAGAACCAAGAATATAGGTCACTGTGTGACTTTGAAGAAAAAAAGATTGAAATGCGTTGTTCTTGAGCAGGTTAATAACATCGTCTACGGTTTTTCCGGGTAATGGTTTAAAATGAACGATACCAGAAGCAAGAGGAAAGTCAGTGACGCGAACATGACGTAATAAACTATCTCCAATAATCAAGTGGTGATGCGAGGAAGAAGCATATGTATTCATTTTAATAACTGCATCTAGAATAAAAATGGTTGGACCAATGAAAGATAGGAACTATCAAAATCAAAATTAGGTGGTCTGGCTAAAAATTAAAAAAAAAATGAGGCAAAACGGCGAGAGCAAGAGCTGATTACGATAAATAGCGAGTGTTAGGTTTAGAGACACGCGTACTTCGGCGCGAAATACTCGAAGAAGGAGTAGTAGGAATGGAGGTGCTATAGTGGGATGGTAAAGCATGAGGACGACATGTCATACCTGGAAGTGAGGAGGCCTGAGGTATCCAGTAGGGTTTAAGACGATCAGCATTAATCGTCCCGAAAAAAACACCATCAGATATGCGTTGAATCTGATATGTGGCAGGACCGAGTTTTTTGACAATTCGGCAAGGTCCCTGGTAGCGTGGGTCAAGTTTGCTAGCTGTCCATTTCCCGGCAAGATGACCAAAAGCGATGGCAGCCCAAACAAGCTGTCCCTCCGAAAAAGATCGATTGGCGGTATGACGATCGTAGATGAGTTTTTGCTGAGATTTGGCCACTTCATTATGCTCCTGGGCAAGGTTCGAGGCGTAGCGGAGGTTAGAAATTAGCTGAGACTTATATGACGTGAGATAACGGGTGTCAGGAGTATGCAAGGGAACTTTTTGGTCCGGAGGTGTTAACAGAATGTCTAGAGGAAATTTGGGATCTCTGCCAAAATTCAAGAAGGCAGGGGTATCTCCCGTCGTTTCATTAACAGAGGTCCGAATAGCAAACGCAAGTTTTGAAATATGTCTGTCCTAGAGGTGTGGGTTCTCCTTGGTATACTGAGCTATCATAGGTTTCAGGGTGCGGTTCACCCGTTCGGTCAGATTGGTTTGAGGATGGTAAGTTGCTGTAAATTTATTTTGGATCTCCAGGGTTTTACAAATATCGGTGAAAAGATCGGCGACGAACTGGGGTCCGTTATCAGATAGGATATATTGAGGGCACCCATACCGACAAATGATTTCATTTACAATGATGTCTGAGATATCGGAAGCCATAGTGGTACGAAGGGGAAAAACCTCTACCCGACGAGTAAAATAATCTACGATAACAAGAAGATACTGTTTCTGCCGCTGTGTGGTGGGAAACGGTTCCATGAGATCCACTCCGATGGTATGCCAAGGTTCTTTGACGACGTGTAGTTGTAAAGGAGCGGAAAGAGGTTGATTATTGTATTTAAATTGCTGACAGGGAGTACAAGCCTGAATGTGAAATAAACGTCCTTCCGCATTTAGGGCCAATACACTCGAGAAAGTAAACGGTAAAGAGTTTCATAGCGACCAGCATGGCCAGCAGTTGGATGGTCATGAGCCCACATAAGAATGACAGCTTGGAGAGACTTGGGAATAACCAGTAGATGTTGACCCGTAAGCGAGCGAGATTCGAAGACAGAGGAAGAGTGTTTACGACTCTTATATAAGAGACCGTTAATCACTCGATACTGAGAAGCTTCTTTGATGAAGCACTTATGAGAAAGAACCTTCTGCGGTACAGTATGATTTGTCAGGTAGTCAATAAATAAGCCTAAGTGGGGATCCTTCCGTTGGCGTGCTTGAATATCCTTAAGTAGACTACAGCCAGAGATTGACGGCAAAATCTAAAAGATTGATTTGATGCTGGGGATCGGGCTGTGACGACGAGTGAGAAACGGGATACCGAGATAACGCGTCAGCATTTTCATTAGTTTTGCCAGAGCGATGTTCGATGGTAAGGTCGAAAGCATCGAGTTTCAAGGCCCAACGAGCTAAACGTCCTGTAGAGTCTTTGAAGTTTTTTAACCACTGAAGTGCTTTGCAGTCGGAGCGGACAGTGACATGAACTCCTTCAATATATGGTCGAAAATGCTTGGTAGCCCAGACAATCGCTAGAGCTTCCTTTTCCGTAGCTCCATATTTGCGTTCAGCGGGGGTCAATGTGCGACTCGCATAAGCGATCACATACTTATGTTGATCGTATTCCTGAACCAAGATTGCTCCCAGACCGTAATCGCAGGCATCCACTTCAAGAATAAAGGGATGACAAAAATTAGGTACGTTCATAATCGGGGCATGTGTAAGTTTATCTTTAAGAAGACAAAAAGCAGCTTGACAGTCAGAATCCCAGAAGAAGGAACGAGAGGGATTTTTACGAAGTTGAACGAGGAGAGGCTCAGCGATTTTGGCGTAATTTTTAACGAAACGTCTGTAATAACCCGTTAATCCCAAAAAGGACTGCAGATCCTTGATCTTTTGAGGAGGAGGAAAACGTTGAACCGCGGAAACCAGTGATGGATCAGGCTTTATTCCGTCAGGGGTAATGAGATGTCCTAGATATTTCAGTTCTTTGCGACAAAACTCACATTTGGACGCTTTAAGGGTTAAGTTGGCTTCTTTTAGGCGCAAGAAAACAGCCTCGAGGTCTAGGAGGTGCTGTTCGAACGTGGGAGAAAAAATGATAATATCGTCAATGTAAACCAGACATGACTGCCATTTTAGACCCGCCAGAACAATGTCCATAAGGCGTTGAAACGTAGCCGGAGCATTGCAAAGACCAAAGGGCATAACATTAAACTCAAATAAACCTCGAGGAGTGACAAATGCGATTTTAGCACGACTTTCAGGATCCATTTCAACTTGCCAGTAGCCGGAACGCAGATCCAAAGTGGAGACAAACTTGGCTTGCTGCAGTGAATCAAGGGTATCGTCTACCCGGGGAATGGGATATGCATCCTTTACAGTAAGCACATTAAGTTTACGATAGTCCACACAAAAACGGAGAGTACCATCCTTTTTGGGGGCAAGAACAACGGGAGCAGCCCATGGGGCTAGACGACGATGAGATGACATCATCGTGTAACATGTCGTCAACTGCAGTTGATGCATGAGCTTGTTTAAGTGGAGCCATGCGATAAGGCTGAGATGGTAGGTTTTGCACCAGGATGTGTCTGAATTTGGTGCCGAACGACATGAGTACGGCCGAGGTGGTTGGTACAGACTGTCGGGAAACGTTGGATTAATTGCTTAAGTTGATGGCGCTGAGAAGATGTTAGGTCGGTGTGTGTAAGATCAGGGACATTATCAGGTTTGACTTGAGGTGAAATAGTACAAGAAGTTTGCGCTAGAATTCCAAGCTGAGCATGATTACAACGGTCCATAGTGGCTAGCTTCTGGCTGGGACTGATCGAGAGGGTAGCACTGGAAAAGTTGGCCACACTGACCATGAGATCCCGTGAAGGGTGTATTATGCCGTTTGCCACTCGAGGAGAGAGGTGAATAGAGGTGATAAAGTAGGTTTCGTCCGCAGTAAAGGTAGAAAAAGATTTATGGGGTTTAGCCGCGATGAGCATGGTATGAAAGGGCGGGATACGAGCTGATTGAGCTGCTAAAAGTGTGTAGGTGGCCAAGTTGGAAGTGGATAGTGTAGAGGGTGGGACGGAAGAAGCTGGA